AGAATCTGCCTTCGAATCTCTTCACCCAACACTTTCACTCGAAATGGAATGTAGCACAACATAAGGAAACATGAGATTCCTCGAAGCCAAACTTTTCTTCGTATAATGACTCCTAATTTAGGAATTGGAGTAGGTCAAAAATGAATGTGTGAGCATAAAGATAAAGTTGGCTGATGCAGACACTGTCATAATTTTCTAACTTGGAGTACAATTTTTCCTTTCGGCAAACGAAGAATCTACTTCGAATGACTCGAATGTTAATTACTTTCCTTATTCTTACGTATAGAATGGTAAGCTGGCTCGGAAACCCATTGAGGTGGTACAGGAAATATCTCACAGTTGTTGCTTTTTCTGCCGTTTTAAGGTCATCTAGGCATACCAATCTGTCCTCTATGACTTATAAAGGATGGGGCACGCAATAAAACTGTGCAACTCAAAACAATACTCATCCAAGATGCACACATAACCGATGCTCTATAAGTCTCCAATCCTCCATTTTAAGCTTCTTAAATTGTGAACGTTGTCAAATAAAACCTTCTACACACTCCTTGCAAAAGGTTATTTTTCCTCTGCGAAATTAAATCTTAGCCTAGAATTCGCAGTTTATTTTAATAAATTACTTTTATCAGCTGGCCCAGTAGTTATGCATCTTAAAGCATACCCGTATCAATCTGATAAAACCCCACTATCAGTACTTAAATCATCTTAAGCAATCTGGAGTGATTAAGTTCTAATTTAGGCAGTACTGATGATTTTGAAACAAAGTCACACCGAAAATTAATTGTATAAAATAAGGAGAGTATTTTCCATTGATTGTAGTCATAAGACTTTATAAAGTGAGGAATTACGTTGGAGCCTGTTGATGCAAATCGCTTTCGTAAGAAGCGTATTGTTTCGCTATTTGAGTCGTCAATGTTGAGGTTAACAAGAGACTTAATTCTGTCCGTAGGCATCCCCGCTCTCTTATCCACCAAAAGTTGAAGGATGATTTGACCTCTTTCCGGCCTGATTCGTGGCCATAAAGGGGGTGAATACAGGCTCTTGTGCTTTAAGGATCAACCACAATACACAGTCGACAACACATTGGCAACAGAAGAACTCTGCAACAGCCCCCTTTGAATTTCCCCAAGACCGAGTGTTTACATCACTCCCATCTGTCCAGCCAGTGAACCAATTCATACAAACCAGAGCAAAAATTGACAGCTACCATTTGTCCGGGGTAGGCGTCCAGACAGTACGGCCCAGTTGCAGTTGTGCAAAGTCTGCTCTCCGTCTCTACTCTCCATCACTTCGCGTCAGCAACAGGCAAACGACACCTCTTGTTCTTCTTACGCCCAAACTATGACCCTCTTTATGATGATTCAAGCCCAGCCAGCTACCACCGGAGCCAGTGAGGCCGTAGTTTCCTGTATGCGTAGTGAAGATAGTCTGGTCTGCATAGCTTTGCCCTAAACGCTTTCGGGTGACTTTTAGTGAAGAGGAGTGAGATAGAGAATAATGAATATTGCAGCACAAAGCAGTCAATCCCGAGCCTTTAGAGGATATTGGTGTCATTAGATGAAGGAAACAAAAGATCCGTTTCCTTATTTTAAGCAGGCTGGAGAGTAAAAGTGTAAAATAAGCATTAGCTCTTACGCCCCGTGGCCAAATTAAACCGCCTGATACTGCCCTCGTTAGTATGAAACAAAGATTCTTTATATG